TTGCCACTTAAATCTATGCAATTTTTATTTTTAGTTCTTATTGTTATAGTTAGGTTTCTCTTTATTTTTTCTTTAAGATAGACTTTTATAAGAGATAATTAGGAACTTGCTATTGCAGTCAGAATAGGCTGTAAGTTTCACACTATTGATCTTTACTATTAAAGCATTAGAATATGTGTGAGAGTAAAGGGAGGGGAATACTCATTATAGCAGATCGTTCACAAGTCCGTATAGAAACCGGAAAAGCTACACTTTAGAATAACTGAAAACACTGTCATATATAGGGCTTATAATTAGTCCTCTGTTAGTTTTTGTATTACAAAAATTTCAAATAAAGTTGTAGCCTGACTACTGAATTTAAAAAAAAATACAAAATATTTGATCTAATGAAAAACTTAAGTACAAAAGATATAGATCAAGTAGGTGCAAATAAGACTATTGTGAATCTGCAGTCTGGTGTAAAACAAATGGCAACACTAACTTGGTTTAGCAGCTAACTAGATTAAGAGGATCTACCTTGTGAAACATCTAAAATCTTAGAAGACTAATCTGATGAAGAACTATAGTAGGAACTGGGTTCATATAAATATCAACAAAGATAACTATAAGTTTCCTAATTGAGTAAATACTGTAATATAGAAAGCAGACTAAAATTCAGGATATGTTTGTAAAAACTTGAAACAATATAATATACTAAGCTAGTAGTAATAACATAAAAAACAAAAATATACTAGTTCTTCAGAATACCAATTATATAATAGTAGTATATCTGTATTATGAAATCTATGATTAGAAACAACTCATGTTACAAAACATATTCTAAACCCTACCAACACACAGAAGTACTTATAAACAGAAATTAGTGTATATACAACTTATATTTGATGCTATATTTGAGTAAATTCGTATCAGAAAGATACCATTGAAGTGATAACTTAAACTCCACCAAATTGGAAGTAGCCATGAAATTATGAACATCTATACCAATTTACCAATTTGGAAATTATTTATAAGAAGTATAGGAGATACAGTGAATATAGAATGATGGTCTTACAAGAGATAAAATACTTATAGGAATCTAGGTAATATATAGTATAGGTTATAGACTACTCTAGTAGGTTTAGTATGAGAATAGATAGTATATATATTTAGTACTATATGTCCTAAGCTTAAATAAGAATATATAAAGTTAGTTTGAAATTATAATATGTATATTAGTTGTAATGAATAACATAATTCTTAATAAACAAAAGTTGAGCTGAATACTCATCTTAACGGTAAAAAAAAAAAAAAATAATAATAAAATAAAAGAGATAAAACTTATTTTATACCAATATCAAATCTTAATCTTGGATGATAAATAAATTTATTTTTATTTAATAATAATAATATTATACAAAATTTCAAAACAAAATTATTATAAAAAAAAAAAAATCTTAATTATTACTAAAACACAAAACTATTGTAAAATGCCGAATATTTCCGTTTATTGCGCTTTCTCAAATTACTTACCGAAAATCAGAAAATCTAAATCTATAATTGGTTAAAAAATTTTATTTTATTAATTTTTTAACCAATAATATATTTGCATTTTTTCTAAATTCCCAGTATGATACATGAAATTTGCTAATCAAGTAACAAATTTCCGGCTTGACTTTCGTATATATTATCATTATTAAAAAAATTGCTACATCTGGAAATTTTGTGCACTGCTTATTACTAATTACGAAAAACATGATTCTGAAGGTTAAAAATTTGCTGATAATATATATATATATATAATAATAATAATACAGTAATTTAAAATATTTACAACGATATGATACTGTATACTTAAATATTAGACTTGATAACTAGTAAACCCTTGTAATTCGTAGAAAATCACGTAACAAATAATATTCATCTTAAAATTGGCAAAATTTTACCATTTTTTATATGGTAAAAACTTACCCTCGAATATTATTCTTACTCTATTAGAATCATCTTTTCCTTTAACCTTATTTAAATAAAACCAATTAATAAATATAAAAATTATTTACAAAGGATTCTATTATAAGGGTTGAAAATTTTTCCTACCTTTTCAACATTTGCGGTGAAATCGATAGCAGACATAATTCCATCACCAAACTATGAAATGTATAAACTAATGATTTAATAGGTAATGAAAGACAAATTAGAAATTCTTGAAAAGTACCTTTTCATTAATAACTTCCTTTAATGGAAGTCCATAAATCTATTAACCAAAAGAAATATTTAATACGTATATATCTATCTTATAACGATAAATTAAAACTCTGAACAGTATTTAAATCATCATTTACCTGCATGATTTCATATAAACGATAAATCAAAGGATCTCTTGGAGGGAGTTCAAATAATCTATATTTCACAAAATTTTATTGTTAAAAATAAAATTTTTTTTTTGTAATATAAAAACAGACTGATAATTTGATTCATTTTACCCCCCACGCATAGGAAAAAAAGTTTGAGCTCCAAGATCATTTGTAAGGTATTGCTGCGGTAAATCCAAAATTGCACTTAATTTTTTAAGATCTGACTCTTCAGGTTTAGCCTTTTTGATAGGTATAAATAATATCAATCTAAGTAATCCCAAAAAATAAAAAATAAAATAAAAAAATAAAAAAATAAAACCTGGCCGTAAAAGACGGACGCAACCCAAACTTCATCTCTGCCAAGTTCTTTTCCGATGTCGGCAAAGCTGTTAATTAACAAATTATGTCATAACGATAATAAAATTGTAATCTAAGAACGTTATAATCTCGAGAGTACAACATACGTGAGCTTTTTTGATGCTTTAGCATCAAATAATTTTTGCAAGATCGGAGTCAATTTTCCCTTTATTGCAGGCTTTATTCAATTGAAAATTGCATTAGATAATATAAATTAATGTAAATGACAATTAAAGAAGATATTTATTCGGTTTTTTTTACGACTCACATTCATGTTTTTAGCTAAACGGATAAAGTGACGCGCGCGTCATTATCATCCAATTATTACGTAAAATCAAAATCAAACACATGTTTGATATGCATAAACCTGTTACCTTAAGAAAATGATTTTAACACGCGGTGAAGAAGAAAAATTGTTTAATCAACTTAAACAGAATGCAAGAAAGAAGTGTGCACCTATTATTCGTGGTATGTAAAACTCATAATTATCTAAACAATAGAGTATGTTAATATTTTTAACATGCTTTTCTTTGCGGGCCTAAAGAATTCGTGGATTGTACAACCGGAAGAGTCTTTTCGGTCGTATGGGTGTGCAGACAGCAACTTCAGGCCATGAATTCATGTTTACATATGTTGTATGCTTTTTAAAAACAATCAATAATATCAATTCCTGCGAGCAGAAAATAATAGTTTTGATTATTTTTTTTTATTTTTTTAATAGTACAACCCAAGAGGAACTCGATAAATTGAAACTTGAATACATTGAACAAAAAAAATTTTTACAAAGTGGAATAGAAAAAGATAATAGTAATTAAGAACAGGTAAAAATTTAAAATTATCATATAAGATGCATTTATTAATATGCTTGTTTCAATGTATAATTTTTCTTAATAATATCGATTTTTTTTTTTCGTACGCGGAATATATGATTCCACGTTATATTCTATATCTAAGGTGGATACGATGAATCCACTTTTTTTTTTTTTGTTTTTTTTTTTTTAAGAAAAAAAATAAAAATAACCATTTTATAATCTCATTTACATGCACCAAGAAAAAAAATTAATATCCAAAAAGATGAAAAACCAAAATCTATTAGTTCACAATAAGTATTACACAAATTTGTAAATAAAAAACAAATAAAGTAAGAGCGCAACAAAAAAAAAAAAAAAAAACTTCGTAGCCATAAAATCGATGCGCTCATATATAGTTTTTTTTTTTACTTGTGTTTTTGTCTTCATACGGTGGTAACATTCATCCAAACAAACTTATAATTCTCGTTTAAGTAATGTAAAGAGAATCCACCGTTATCGAAATCAGAATCTGATTTGCAAATATTAAATGAGTTAGGTAATTTTTTGAGAATGTAAGCAATGTGCGAAACAATGTTTGTATAGAAAGAGATTCAGAAGTTCCTGAAGTGTTATTATAAAGGAAAATATATATCCAAAATGCAATAGCGTTCAAAAATAATTTTGTTTTCTTTGTTTTTTGTTGCCTTTGAGAAATTTGGAGAGTTTTCGTTGTCAGCCTAAATAAGATGAAAATTTTAGGGATAGTTGACAATTAGGAAAACAGATTGAATGTCACGATAGGAAAAAAAAAAATGAGAAAATTAGAATAAAAGAGTTTTTTTTTACATATATATTTTTTAATTAGAAAGTTTGGTTGCACGAAAAAATCCATTATCTTAAAAATATCTTTTTTTTAAAGTCCAAAATACTATACTATCAAATGTTTATGGATATTATAAAAATGAACAACAAATCAAAAAAAGGTGGATGATGCAAAAGAAATAAAGACAAAATATGGATTTATATGAAGTATTTCGAATTTTAATATCTTTCTGTAACCAATAAAATAAATTTTACATACACGAGTGCAACCATAAAGAAAAAAGAAATCAAAAACTTAGCTACACATACTACATGTAATAACTCCGATGAACTTTTGCCAAATTCCTCGTCTCCGATGAGAGTTTGAATCAGCACCATTGTTTCCTTGAATACCATTAACGTTTCCACCGTTGCCTCCGTTCATACCAGCACGACCAGAGTATGGATTATTCAAATCTTCGACTCCAGAATTCAAAATTGCACTGTTGTGTTTCTTTCCTGTCCCTCGCTGTGCCTTAGAATTTTGATGAACTAAAGCAGGTGATGGAGGGTTTTGTTGCTGGCTGCGGTTCATGGATGGACCACGATTAAGGGATGAACGATGAAGGCGCGGATCAGATGAGCCATGATGAATATGAAGATTAGAAGTTTGATGAATTCCAGCGTTGCTATATGGCTGAGAGGAGGTACCATGAAGTGTTACGCGGGTGTTAGTTTCAGGATTAAGTGTGCCGTCATCTTTCCGCTATTGATGTGTGTGAATCACAGACCAAAAAGCGACAAGACGATGGAAAATAAATACAACTCAGAGAACGCTCATCGTATTGTCATATTTGCCAAAAATATTATAAAATCAGCTGATAGATTAATAAATAATTCTTACCGAGCCTGCTTCCCATCCTTTGCCACCATTTAATAGCATCCAATCATAAACGCCATCTTCTATCTCATTAGAATTCTTTAAGACTTTGGTGAATAACTCCCTCAAAAAATCATAGTCGGGGTTTTCTTCGAAATTAAGCTTACGGACATAATTAAGGTAGATTCCAAATTCCTCTAAAAAAAGAGAAAGTAGAACCAGTGCCAAATTAACATCGAACGAAAAAGGTCAAACATTATATATTATATGAAACACTTTAAACATACCTGGAAACCCTTCACATAATTCTTTGAT